GTTTCAATTTTAGCAGCTATAGGTTTGAAAAAAATGAAAATAATCGTGAAACAAGAAGCTGATTGCTAGTTGATTCTGAGCGGATTCATAAATGATATCGGAAGATATAAAAAAAGGATAAATATTAGAGACAAAGTTACTGTAATTAACGCGTTTTCGAAAAAGCGCCATAACCATAACGGTCAACAATGAAAATGCTTGAAATGTGGATATTTTGAATGGAGTGTGCGTGATAAAAGAGGGGAAATGTCCCAGGTGAATATCAATTCTCGCTTGAGCGATTCAATTTCAAGTGGGTTTCTTGAAAGAAGTGGAATGGATGAAGAATTGGTCAATGAAGTGAGGGGAAAAGCTTCTTTCAGGTAACTATTCCATATATCCATACTATTCCATATATCCATAATATTCCATAACTATTCCACATGCATAAGAAATGCGGATTTCAACATTTTCATAAATTTCCAACGATAGAAACCTGATATCGATGAATGTTATACTATTTGAATGTAAACTATTTGAAAGTTGTAAATCTCCTCTACAAAATAGGCTAAAACGTGTTTCAATTGATCGAAGAAATTGAAGAAATTGAAGAAATTGAAGAAATTTCGAGGGCGAAATGCGAGTGACCAAAAAAGGATCGAAGTCACTTTAGGGTTGTCCCTAAATTTCCAACGATAGAAACCTGATATCGATGAATGTTATAAAGTATTCGAAAGTTGTAAATCTCCTCTACAAAATAGGCTAAAACGTGTTTCAATTGATTGAAGAAATTGAAGAAATTTCGAGGACGAATTGCGAGCGACCAAAAAAGGATCGAAGTCACTTTAGGGACAAGTTTAGTGTGGTCAAAATAGAGTTAGCTTCCCAAAATTGAAGATTTAAATAAAAAGGATGACTATATATCAATTCATTAGAAAAAGTCTTTCAATTGATCGAAGAAATTGAAGAAATTTCGAGGGCGAAATGCGAGGCACTTTTTGCGAGGCAAAAAGGGCACTTTTTGAAAACCCCACTTTCACAAGAGTTCGATTTTGACTATATAGTGGAAAATGAGCGCCAAATCATTCAAAATGTCATTCAAATAATAATTAAGAGTTGGGATCATTTCATGGGAAAACTTTGTTTTTACAATAATTTTTCTTTTTTGTGAAAAAGCCGGTTTTTTTGACAATTTTGAGGGTTTTGAACTTACGCTCTATCTAAATTTCTGTAAATGCATTTCCGTTAGACTTTTTTAATGAATTTATATATAGTTATCCTTTTTATTTAAATCTTCAATTTTGGGGAGCTAACTCTATTTTGGCCACACTAAACTTGTCCCTAAAGTGACTTCGATCCTTTTTTGGTCGCTCGCTCGTCCTCGAAATTTCTTCAATTTCTTCGATCAATTGAAACACGTTTTAGCCTATTTTGTAGAGGAGATTTACAACTTTCGAATACTTTATAACATTCATCGATATCAGTTTTCTATCGTTGGAAATTTATGAAAATGTTGAGATCCGGATTTCTTACCTAATAGGTAATAAATGCATGTACCTAATAGACAATAAAGGAGTGAAGGAATTGGCAAGAAAGAGTAGATTTCCGGAGAGGGGATTGAGCCGTTGACCTTTGGCTTTCCGGGATTATACAATACAGAATCGGATATACAGCATCGGAAATACAGCATCGGAAATATAGCATCGGATTCCCCAGGCTCGAAAAGCCTTTTCTATCACTATGCACTATTCTATCACGATCCAATTATTTACCATTTACCTTTGGACCATTCGCTTGTCAAGTAATATCTAAAATTTGTCTTAGTACTTGATTAAGCTAATATTTGACTAATACAGTGCTCCAACTAATTATAGAGCCACTTACATTTTTTAAAACTCAGTAGCGACTTTGAAGAGAAATCAATTAAATTCAACTTTGGTCAGTAGAGAATTTTTGTACTGATCTTTTCTACTCATTTTTATTTAGAAGTTGCTAACCGTCGTGACGCTTTATCTTTAAATTCAAAAAATGACACTTTTCCGCTCCAACTAATTATAGAGCCACTCCAAAAATATCAAGAAATGTTTATAAGGATAACAAGTAAACAGGTTAAATGACAAATCAATAATCAATAGCCTCACCATTAAGTTTTATAATCTGGAAAATTCGAGTATCCATGCTTGAAATGAGGTTCTCGATGATTTTTTGATCGACCGTATGCCAAGTATTTATAATCGCCCTTTTCAATTCTTCAAGACCTGCGTATTGTCTGTTATTTTCGTAAATTCGACGTGCTAGTATTCCCCAAATGTTCTCCATCGGATTTAGATCGGGCGAATTTGGCGGCCAATCAAGAAGTTGAATTTGGCGCCTCCGGAACCAGCCTCGAGTACTTTCACTAACGTGAATTGGCGCATTATCCTGCATGTAAATAAAATTTTGAGTGGAATTCTTGCGATAAAATGGCAACAGACATCGTCCGAGTATCCACTGATACCTTTCGGAATTGATTTTCTTTGGGACAAACGCTAATTTGATCCTTCCAGTTGATGTGAAGCACCCCCAGACCATTACGCCTCCACCGCCAAAATTTCGTCGTGAAAAAAGCTTTGGTTCTTTTCGGATATCGTGCCAATATGCTTTGGAACCATCGCAACCATCAAGATTGAATTTTTTTTCATCGCTCCAGATTACCTAAACTATGAAACGTAAGAAAAATTCAACTTGGTGCTTTTGCTAACCTTAGACCAATCCTGACGCATGTTTCTTTGACAAAATTTCAAACGTTTTTCTTTATTTTGAGCGGTTATCGTTGGAGCACGCCTCATTTTGTTGACCAGTTGGCCGACTGGTTAGGAATCTTCTCTCCTAATCGGAAAATCCAGGGTTCGATCCCGCTGGCGAAATCAAGTGTGTGTTCTTTTTCCCATTAAGTTGGGTTTTTTCTTAACTACATTGTAGGGGTAAAAATTGTGTCCTCCGTTGTGTTGTATCCACTTATTCATGTTGAATAAAGTATCTTTTTTTATTTTCCTACGCCTGATGAATGGATTTGCGTGGATAAGTCTTCGAATCCATTCGATTGAAATTGTCAATCCCAATTCTCGTTTGATTTGGCGACATGTAATTGTGCTGTTGGAAGCCGCTCGCCAAATTCGCCTTTTATCTTGGTCTGATACTTGCGGAATTCGTCCTGTTGATTTTCTAGTGCCATATATGGCTGGATCAGTAAGGTAACTATCAACGAGGTGATGACTTCTACCCAAAAGTCGAGCAATTTCTCGATTACTCCTTCCAGCGTGGTTATATGCTTCGATCTGTTCTTTCTCGAAGTCGGAAAGCGTTTTACCTCTTGCCATAACTAAAAATAACTTAATAAGGTAAAGTCAATCGAATTATAAATAAATGGAAATGAAAAAAAAACAATTACAAACAAAAATCAGAGTGGCTCTATAATTAGTTGGAGCGGAAAAGTGTCATTTTTTGAATTTAAAGATAAAGCGTCACGACGGTTAGCAACTTCTAAATAAAAATGAGTAGAAAAGATCAGTACAAAAATTCTCTACTGACCAAAGTTGAATTTAATTGATTTCTCTTCAAAGTCGCTACTGAGTTTTAAAAAATGTAAGTGGCTCTATAATTAGTTGGAGCACTGTATTTGGCTAATATTTGGATAAATCTTCTATTTCCATCCTTTTCTTACTTATCGAAAGAAAAGCTATCATATTTTTATTCTTTGCACTCAAAAAGCAACAATTCGCTTTTTTCTCAAAAAAAAATCAGCTTCACAAATAAAATGGTCGTATTTCATTGTCAATGGCACGGAATCTCATGGAAATCTTTGTTCAAAATTTTTCGAAATTTACGAAGATCACAATAGAATTTTTGGGTTCATGATGATTGTAAAGATTAAATAAATATTTGAAGAAAATCGTTGAAAAATGACCAGGATTTATATAAAAGATCAGCTTTTTTTTGAGAAAAGCAATAGATCAGCAATTCAGCAATAGATCTAAGTTTTTCAGTTTCTTTAGCCCTTTTTTGAAACTAACATTTTTTAAACTGAAGCTATTCGCTTTTTTTATCAAATTTGAATTATAATCTCAAGTCTTTCGTTTCAAAATTCCTTGAATCAGTAAAAATAAAGCAGGTTTAAATCTAGACATAAAATCAGGCTAATTAGAGACTAAAAAGGCAAATTAGAGACTAAATTTTTCCTGTTATATGAACTATTTTGAAACTTTGCATTTTCAAGACCAAGAATTCGATTCCGGCTACGGAAAATGGGGGATTTTGGTTCATACGTTTTCGCCTTTCAAAACTTTATCTTTTGGCTAAAGGCTAAAGCTTACTTTAGCCAAAAAGTAGCCAAAAAGTAAAGTACTTTTAGAGTTTGGAATAGAAATCAATTTTTGGATTTTCGGGTCATTTCGGTCATTCCGGTAAAACCAAAAACCATTGGGTCATTTCGGTAAAACTAGAGGGAAAGCTCGGCTCTCTTTATGCACCAAATTTTGAAGCTTACCTAATTGCAATGTGGTAAGACTTAAAATTTCAATTTTCTCCTTATATTATGCCAAAAAAAATAGTGAATATTAGGCATTGATTAAAAAAAGTGAACATTTTTATTGTTAGCTTCAAAGTCGCGAATTCAAAAGATAGTCTTGCGTTAGCAAATACTATTTTTACTCTATAATGAAGTGAAAAAAGTAAATGGGAATTTGTGAATGTAAAAAAGTAAATAAGAATGTAGTAAGCTTTAAATCTATTGGGCTTTAAATCTATTGAGCTTCAAACCTAATGAGCTTTGTAGTCTGAAGACACTAAGGAGATAGGCCCAATAACTAGGCCCAATGATCTCAACTTGACACACTTAACTTTGAAACTTGATATTAAAAGCTTTAATTTGAATCAACCATAGTCTCGGTCCGCTCAAAAGAAACGAAACAACATTCTGGACAGTCTAATCTTTGTCTTTATCATTCTAAATCTTATCTAAACATTCCATATGTTTAGAGAAGATGCAACTCTCGATATTCATACTGATATCAATGTTGTCGATTCTTGTTGATGGCTGTGCTCCGGATTTGAGAACGACACGGGAGCCAAGAACAACCCGGAAACATACTACAAGAGGAACCACTCAACCACCAGGTTTGTTGATGTAAAACTGAAAGATTAGCGGGTGATAAAAGCAAACAAATAAATGCAATGAATATTTTAATTCAAATTCAAATCAAAGCAAACTTTCAAAGGCTAAAGAACAGCTTTCTTTGCAAAATGATTGGCAACGTTTCAAATTATTTGGCTTTTAAGCCTCTTTTGCGATATCAATGCACCTCTTGCCTGATGAATACTATGACGAATATGAATTGTTTCTATAAAGTTACTCAATTTATAAATGCCATAAAAATTTGATAACTTTTTGGATCGAGCTTGAAGATTGAAATTAAGAAAAGAGAAAAGAAAAGCAAGAGTTTCAACGAAAACATTAATAATCCACGTTCTTTTTTTAATGCTTTTTCAATATTTTCTGGTTTTCTAATTGCGAACTGTTACAGAACTAGAGTTTTGTTTATCTTTAAGCTTTAAAGAAAAGTGAAACCTTTTATTTTCTTTGCAAAAACATTTACTTTTTAAACTTTTACGGTAATCGGACTGATGGCGCCCGACTTTGTGAGCTCGTTTTGCACCTAAAGTCTTTGAGTTTTAAATAGTTTGAGCGTTGTTACGCTAGTCGCCAAAGATTGCCACGTTGCACATCGGCGCGAAAATGCGTTTTCTATCGGATTTTTCCGGGAGTACCATTTTTAGATGCGGAAAATTGTGCTGCTTCCTAATCTGAAGGAATTTTTCAAATCCCCTTGACAGAAATTTTTAAAATTGAGTTTTAGCGGTTTTTTGGTCATTTTGTATGGGAAATTTTGTGGTACCCCGCAGTTTGAGGCTCGTAACTCGACAATCATGGTCTAGAACAAGAAACGAGGGGATAATTTTTATTCTAGAGACTCTCACGAACATTTTGATACAAAAGTCATCAAATTTGCTCAACTCTACAAAAAGTTATAACATCTTTAAAGAAATTTTGCAAAATACACTAAAAACATAAGGGGAAACCGTGGCCGAGTGGTCTAAGGCGCGCGACGTGAATCCCGCGCAAAAGTATGGGGTTGTTGGTTCGACTCTCCTGCACACTTGAGCTATTATTTTGCATATTCCTTAATTGTTTTGAGTGAATACGATACATAGCTACATTGTTCTTTTGAACAAAAAAAATTGTGCAATAGAGAATTTTTAAAATTTTCTCATTTCTTTTTTAAAAATGTTATACCTTTTTGTAGAGTTGAGCAAATTTGATGACTTTTGTATCAAAATGTTCGTGAGAGTCTCTAGAATAAAAATTATCCCCTCGTTTCTTGTTCTAGACCATGATTGTCGAGTTACGAGCTCCAAACTGCAGGGTACCACAAAATTTCCCATACAAAATGACCAAAAAACCGCTAAAACTCAATTTAAAAAATTTCTGTCAAGGGGATTTGAAAAATTCCTTCAGATTAGGAATCAGCACAATTTTCCGCATCTAAAAATGGTACTCCCGGAAAAATCCGATAGAAAACGCATTTTTGCCTTATTTCGCGCCGATGTGCGTTGCTCAAAAGGTCTGGTCTTTAAGTCATATCTTTAAGCTAAAGAAAATAGTGTTTGTGCCAACTATTTTTCATTCACTCAGCATTTTGGCTGAAGAGTAGCATTTACAAATGCAGATAGAGATAAGGCTGTACTGAGCAGAACATTCTAAAGCTTAAAAGAATAAATGGACAGAAAGAATAAGTTAAAAGTGAGCTTAAAAGAATCAGTAATCAATGCTGTAATGCTACCTACAGCCGGCTGGCAAAATAAGAGCACCGAAACACAAAACTTTTGCATTTTACAGCTCAATTTGCCACTCGAGGAACGGCGAATCTTGAAATCATTCCCACCGTCATTTTCTCGTACCCCGGAACGGTGGGCAGTCTGCAGAAATGGGGAAAACATCATCGGATAAAGAGACAAGTGACAGACACGACTACGACAACTACAACAACGATCGATCCAATAACTGAAACCACCGATTCGTCAACAACTTCTCGGCCCGTTGAACCAGTCACTGGACAGGTTGCTTAAAATTGTTGACTATATCTTTCCCATTCTAATGCAGGAGTTGCTTTTTTTTAAATAGCTTGATTTATTCCATGGCTTTGTGCTTAAATCTTAAACCCTTCCTGGCACACTTCTTCATGGTTTTCATGAGACACTGAAATTGAGTCTGCCAGAAAGCTTTCGTTTATAACGTTTATCAAGCAAGTACGAGTTTAAACCATTTTGAAAACAACTGTTTCAACAAATGATCAATTGGGATAATCCTTCTTTACTACTTTCTGAATTTAAGGATCTACAGATTAATGACTTTAAAAGCAATGAACAAAACTTATTTACAGCCTGATAACCAGCAGGAGGCGCTCGCCGAAATCACGGATGCCTTGAAAGCGAATGTGCGTTTGTTATCTATTGAGCAAATGCAGAGAACATCAATCCATTAAGAATTTAGTCAGATTTGTCAAAATCAATCAAAGCCCAATTTTTAGCTTACTAATGCCTTATTAAAACACAAACTCGACGCGAATGTGAAGAGTGTCGGATTCACGTTTACCCCCGATCTACCAATAGCCGCTACACAAGGAGACTTTTGTGATACGGCGAAAACGAAGATCTGTAAGTTTTAATTATTGGTTGGTGAATTAAAAACTGCCGGACTTTGAACTAAAGTTTATTCAACATAAAACCATGAATTCATTCGAAATAATTTTCATTGTTATTGACGACTTCTGCCCATTTTACAGGCACTTTGCGAATTCCTCTTTCGTGATAGGAGTTTGGTTTGTGTGTGAGACAAGTGTGAGACTCAAAAATGGAGGACTGGAGATGTCCCAGTTTGAGCATTTGAGCACTTTCTTCAAAAGAAACCCATTTTGGTGTCAATAGAAAAGTTGTAGAGAAACAAAAATTAGGCTTATAGCCAAATTCCCAAAAAGATACACTTAGTAGTTTCGCTTAAAATGCAAGTTTGTGAAAATTCGTAAATTTGGCATTTCTTGAAAAGCAGTTTTTGAATCGTTCTGAAAATTTGGATATAAGCTTGATTTTTGATTTTTTACAACTTTTCCATTGACACCAAAATGGGTTTCATTCGAAGAAAGTGCTCAAACTGTGACATATAATAATAGCCGGCAGTTTTCAATTCACCAACCCAATATATTAATAAATATTAACGTTAATTTAAAGTTAAATTAAAATTTAAGAGAGAAATTCTTTGGTGTTTCAAAATTAATCGGGAGAGATGGCATAACCAAGAAGTAATAAAGTGCAATTTTTTTTAACCAAAAGAAAAAAAGAAAGACCAAAAGAAAGACCAAAAGAAATCAAAAGAAAATCAAAAGATTTTTTCTTCTCATGCCAAAAAAGATTTCAAGACTTGTTTTTCAGGGAATCTCACGAGTGAGTACATTTTCTGCGGTTCGGATCCGTTTTTTGCTGGAGGTAGTTGAGAATTAAAATACTAAGTCCTTGAAGGATTCTAATCAAATTTATAAACCTTTTTTGGTTTGAATTGATTCAGAAAACAAAACCCATTTCAGGCAACATCGTGCTCGATTTGGATGCGAGCATTGATAAGCTGAAGTTCGAGGATGTTTTCAGAGAGGTACTGCTAGCATTCTGTGAAAGTTGGCTCAATTTCGAGTTGTTATTGAGTGTTTTTCTGTGTGCTGAATAGCGTAAAAATAGTCTTTTTCCGTTTCCCGAGAATTTCTCCGCAAAAAATGAACGCATTTCTGCTTAAAATTCTTAAATTCCAGATGCTCTTCGATCTTGATGGAAAACTTTTTGACATCTTTGAGACTCCAACTTTTCAATTCGCTTAGAGGCTAAAAAGGCTTAGATAAAATTCTGAACTTTAATCGAATAAAGACTTTACAAAATCTTGTTCAAACTGCAAAATCAAATAAATACATTAAAAAAGTTTCCATGTTCAGTTTCCATTTCTCATCGCTTTTCTCAATCTTCTTATACATTACTGGACAATGAAATAACTTCCTTGTCTTTACCGTATTTCTAAATATTAATATTACCATTGTGTAGCCCTTAAAAAGAGCTTTCAGAAAATGTATAACACTAATAGTTTAAACTCAAAGACAAGGGAGTTACAGACGCGCGAAAGTGACGATCGTTTTTCAAATATCATATTTCATTGTCCAGTACTGTATCTTTGATCTTGAATTCTCTCGAAGTTTGACTGCTTTTTTGAAATTTGAACCGCATATAAGTTTACATTTATTCATTTATCAAATTCCTAAGATGATCGTCTTACTCTAGGGCTTGTATGAAAAGATAACATCGGCACTGGAAACGATTTCGATTCGACTGTGCTCCTCTAGATCATCGATGACCTAAAAACAAGTTAGTAAACTTTTTTGTAAAGTCAAATCTTATCCAAATACTTTCAATAACTAACCCCTTGGAGCAGAATCTCAAATTCTCCTTCGGGCAGCGCTGTCTCTAGCTCGATTGTGATCTCACCTAAATTTTTTTCGAGATTATTTTAATAGCCTTTTGTCAGTGAGTTTTGTCAGTAAGAACTAAGAACTTTTCAGATTTAAGAACACTTTCACCTTTCATCTGCACGTCCGTTTCAGTCCCGGTGAAACTAGCACTTGTACAATTCGCTAGAGTTGTAAGAACAATCTTACCTGACATCTCTGCACCATCTGTGCCCTCATCCGAAGTACAACTGACAATCATGTCAACGGCTTTGCAAACTAGTGGAGGATTTGTATCGGCCATGAATGTTTTGAAAGTGTTCGTTGTTGATTTGATGTTAACGATAATATTGTTGTCTTGGAGAGCGTGGAAAACCTAAATTTAAAGCATTGAGTTGAAAAGGAGGATCTGAAAAGGATTGAACAGCGCCATTAGATTTTCAATCAGTGAACCCACAGCCACTTCGATGTTGTCCTGAATTGCTTGCTCTGCAGCAGCTGGGTCAGCTGTCTAAATCATCAGAGCTTAAAATGAATTAAAATCCAAGATCCAAGGCCAAGGTCCTTAAAATAATACCTCATTTTAAGTTAAAAACAACTGTAAACGTTTGTAAATACTCGAGATTTTTATCTGTATCTGAAGTCACCAAAGAAAACCCAGTTCAATAAAATGTAAGCAAAATTTCTGTAAAATACAAAAAATTCATGCTACAAACCTGACCACCACCAAGAGAACCCAGGTTCCAGGTTGAGCCTGATGGAAAATTCGGTGGTGCCACAGTGTCATAATATGTCCATCCAACCGAGGGGTTCGCAACTAGTTTGACCGTTCCGATAGTCTTTGGTTCAGCTGAATGTTTGACAAAAATATGATCATTGTTTTCGATTTCAAAGATTTCAAAACTAATAAAATAAAACAACATTACCAGCAGGAGTGCAAGCCCTGGCCAAGCATAATAAGCTCAACAAAACAGCAATGTGTTTTCGGGATAGCATTTGAATATTGGGACAATCTGACGAATCATTCAAGCAAAACTGCTTTTATATCTGCAAATTTGAAGAAGATTTCTTTATATTATGTTATTGTTGTGCGTGAAAAAGATGGCTTTCAATTGAGCTTTGTTCGATTGTGAATTTATAGTCGAATCGTCATCGGCTCTCTTTGTGTGATCTGATTTCTTTTCGTTTCGCGAGACGTCTATGCAAACCAAACACAATTTCTGATCAAGTTGCAAAATGATTCAAGAAATTGAAAATAATATATACAAAGCTTTTTATTTCCTTTTCAAAAACATTTACTTTTTAAACTTTTACGGTAATCGCCCTGATGGCGCCCGACTTTGTGAGCTCCTTTTGCACCTAAACTCTTTGGGTTTTAAATAGTTTGAGCGTTGTTATGTCAGTCGCCAAAGATTTCCACGTTGCTCGAAAGGTCCGGTCTTTAAGTCTTATCTTTAAGCTAAAGAAAATCGTGCTTGTGCTAACTATTTTGCTATTCACTCAGCATTTTGGTTTGAGATTACACATGTAGATAGAGATAAGGCTGTACTGAGCCGAACATTCTCAAGCTTAAAAAAAGTAATCAGTTAAAAGAATAAGTAATCAGTAGTAAAGCATAAAGCCCTCCTGGCGGCAATGGGATTCGTGTCGATGTAGCTCATTGGTTCGCCCGGTTGGCGAGAGATTGCAGGTTCGAATCCCGGCACCGACCATGTTTGTATTCTCAGCCCCAACTCATAAAAGGACCGGCGTGTCCAACTCAGTGCTGTAATGCTACTGGCTGGCCAAAAGAGCACCAAAAATACAAACCTTGTACATTTTACAGTTCAACTTGCCAGCCGAGGAACGGCGAACCTTGAAATCATCCTTACCGTCATTTTCTCGTATCCCGGAACAGTGGGCAGTCAGCAGAAATGGGGAAAACATCATCAGATAAAGATAGAATTGACAGACACTATGACCACCACAACGATCGATCCAATAACTGGCATTGATTCACCAACCACCATGAACCGTTGAACCAGTCACTGGACAAATTGGTTTAAATTGTTAACTAGATCTTTCCCATTATTCTAAATCCATTCAAAAGTGGCTAGTTTTGAAACAGATCGATTTATTCAATGACTTTCTTTCAAGTTTTAAAGTATTCAAGGAACCTCCAGGGAATTCTGTGCATCAGAAAGTGTGTGTTTCAATATTCACGATAAAGCACATTCACAAGTTCTCTTACAAGCGCTAAATTCCAGATGCTTGAAGGAAAACAGTTTGACCTCTTTGAGACGCCGACTTTCGAATTCGATTGAAACACTGGTGAAATTGCAACTCAAAATAAACTTTTTTGACAAATAATAGCAGTTTTTGGCTGGTAAAAGATACAGTACTAGACAAAGATCATCAGATTATCACTCCATCTTTGAAGAGCTATAACTTCAAGCGTTTCCATCGTCGACTAGAAGTTTTATAGTAGTTCTGAAAGCTTAAAACAAGCTCTATAAGATGGTGTATTTGCTTTTTATAATCTTTGCGACAAAACACTTTTTCTTTATTCGGTAAACACATTCCTACGTTACCAGCCAGCCATTGGCGCTTTTTAAGCCTTGTATGAAAAGTCGTAGTTGACGATTCTAGCCCGACTTTGCTCCATCAGCTCATCGACGACCTAAAATAAGTTCTTGCAACTGTTAGAGCTTGTGGTATGTACTGTTCTAGTTTATTCTATGAGAATATTGTCTCGTGAAAAATAACGACTAATTTTCTTGTTTGAACAGTTTTTTTTAAACAAACCCCTTGAAGTATCGTCTCGAATTCACCCTCCGGAATCGCCGTTTCAAGCTGGATGACGATATCCCCTAAAAATAGGCCTATTCGAGATCGATGATTCGTTACCAGTCAATTCTTCTCTGGCGAGCCAAAGTAAAAGTACTGTATTTTCCCCGTTGATGACTATTTTACGGTTTCAAAGTTTTCACAGAAGCTCAACACTCGTATCCCCCACAAGATCTCATCGTCAGCTACATTTTCCGACCCCACATCGATAGGTTCTGATAAGCGGTTTTCGAGATCTCGATCGATTTACACAAGGTGAACTATTAATGAGTTAACTGGGCTTTTCTGAACCGCTTTTTTGAACCCTTACACACCTGACATCTCGGTGCTTTCCTTGCAATCAACGATATCCGTGATTGCTTTAGCTGGCCTGCATTGTAGTGGAGGTGCTTCTTCGGCCATTATTGGAACAAAAGTATTTGTCGTTTTGACGGTCACCATGATTTTAAGGTTTTGGAGCACGTGGAAGACCAGAAATATGATAATGTATTTTTATTCTTTAAAACCACTCACATCCACTTCAATGTTATCCTGGATTGTTTGTGTTGCGACGGCTGTTTCGTTAGTCTAAATATCAAGTGAATGCAGACTGAAAACTACCGTAT